GCAAAGGGCTGACAGATGTTTTAAAGGTTTGATAAAATTCTGCGCAGAGACCATCTGGTCCCGGTGTCTTCTGTTTTGCTAGCAAATCAATAGCTTTTTCAATTTCTCCTATGGGGATGTCCCCTTCCAGCCATATTCTCTCGTTTTCGCTTAGCTGAGGCATGAGCTTCAGATAATTATCGAGTTCTGTGAAACCTTTGGGAGTCGGCTTTTCGCCAAAAAGCTTAGCGTAATAATTGACAAAGCATTGCTGAATTGTTTTTTGGTCTCTACTGGTTGTTCCGTTGAAATCTATCTCATGAATCTCTTTCGCCAAGGCGTACCTCTTTTCGTCGGACAAAGCCCGTTTGGTGGGTTGTTCTCCCAATAGATATTTCTCAGACCGTGAGCGTATGACAGCTCCTCTGTACTTCTCTAGGTATAATTTGTCTAGTTCTGCTTTAATGTTCCGAATATCACCCATGCTTGTTCCAGGGTTTTGGTTTTCTAATCTGTGAAGTGCATCTAGGTTACGTTTTAGATGTTTTTCGCGCTCTGTGTTGGAACTGAATGTTGCTGGATCTTTCAATCGCTGCTAATTTAACTCCCTCTTTAAATTGCTCCCACGCCTCGTTTAGTTCCCCCTTCGTTTCGCTCATACGCTGCAACAGTTCGGTAACAGTGCCAATAAACTGTTCATCCTTTAGTAGAGTTCTGTTCATTTTCCAGAGGTGCCATTGAAACTTTGAGGCTGCGCTTTCCTTTTTCCCTATTTTAACGGTTACAAGGCAGTGGTCTGTGAAAAAAATGGGTTGGACGTCATATTTATGTACTTGCTGTAACACGTCGCAGGATAAATAAATGCGGTCAAGACGGGCATGGGAGGACGCTTGGAAATGGGTGTATTTCAAGCAGTGCGGTGGGGCACACGAGGTGCCCACGTCATTTAGGCCACAGGAGACTATCATATTTTTCAAAAGGTTCACGCTATTGTCACTTATTCTGGTGTGAGAGGACTTGTCGCGTTCATCGCAAACGCAGTTGAAATCCCCCATCAATACAACTGATCTGTCGCACTCTACGTAGCTGGTTAGAAACTGGAAAAACTGTTCTCTGTCCGCTGCATTATTTGGGGCATAGACGCAAATAACCCGCCACTGAACATTTGCTAAAATAAAATCACACGAAATAAAACGACCCTGTTCATCTACAGTCACATGCAGATCGGAAAGGTTAACAGACTTTTTCAAGAAAAGAAAACATCCCGCCGAAAAACCTACCGCGTGGCTAACGCATACTTCGTAATGAAAAAGAAATGGTTTTATCGCAACAGCAATGTCGTTATCATTTTCCATTTTCGTCTCCTGCACAGCAAAAAAATCCGGCTTCGCGTCAGATAACAAGCGCTGCAGCTGATATCGTTTCTTTCTCGAGTTTAATCCTCGAACATTGAGGGTTGCGAAACTGAGGGCCATTTAGCGAAAGTTACAAAGAAAGACAAGATCGTGCAGCGATGATGTCTGTCTGACGAGAGAAAAAAAAACACACACAAGAAAAAAACAAAACAACCTCACTCACAAAGCGGAGCTCTCCTTGGCGGAGGCTTCACCGCGGGTGTTGTCGAGGCTTGTCTTGAGGGTTGCCGAGGCTAGGGCCGGAGGTCCCCCGTGGTGCCTGCCTCTCTTGGTCATCACCACCTTCCACCTGTCCTGAACCGTCTGCTGAAGTCCCTTAGATTGGTCGCCGTCCTGTGCGTCCGCAGTCGGAAGCGGTCGCTTGACGGTGCTAGCCACGACTTCCATGGCTACGCTGCCTTTCTCGGATTCCGCGCCCTGGGCGAAGTCAAGTGGCACCCGGTGTAGGTCGTCATCCTTGCCTTCGGGTTTCAGGGGTGGCGGGGGACGAGTGGGCTCGTTGCCCTCCGCTTCTTGCGTCGGAGTGACGACCACCGGGGCTTGCGTTTTCGACGGAGGCTTCTGGGGTTGGACTGAGGTGCTCGCTGCTGTTCCAGTTTGGCCACGAGGCTCGAGGTCGACGTCGGTTTTGCCGGTTTCTCCCGCCGCCGCTTCCGCCTCGTCCTGGTCCATGATGTGCTCCGCCAGATCGTCGTCCACCTTCGCGTGGGCCGCGTGGGCCGCGTCAGCGTACGTCTTCGCACATTCGCTGCGGGTGTGTCCGTAGCGTCGGCAGCCCTCACAGCGAGGTACGCGACATTCCTTCCGTATGTGTCCGGTCTTGCGGCAGCGAAGGCAGAGTGGCGCTCGTCCTGGTGCAAGAACCAGCGCCGAGCAGCCAGAGAGGCGGAGCTGATGAGGTAGGCGCTCGACGGTGACGTTCTCTTTCAGGGTTAGTCTCACAGTCCTCGTGGTTGACTGGACTCCCTCGAATCCACCTACGTGCCAGGTTTCTCTGGAGACTTCTTCGACTTTGCCGTAGGGCTCCAGGGCTTTTTTCACGCAGTCGTCTGGCATGTAGAACGGGATCCAGTGCAGCTTGAGACGCACTTCTGCCCTGTCCGGGTCAATGATAACGCACCGCCTGCCTTTCACCTCGAAAGCTTTAGCGGCTGCTAACTTCTCTTTGGCAGCGGCAGATTTGAGCGTCACGAGCCACACGTGGTTCATCTGAAATGACCCGCACGCGGCTATCTCCTTGAGGACTCCTGCGTTTTCCAGTCCGGCCTGGAAGTCTTCAATTCTGTATGGTCTCGCTCCGATGTCGGCATGAAGGAAAACGGAGTTCAGGAGGTACTCGCCTGTCGGTATCGGGGGCATGACAATCCGATAAGGTTCGTTGCATCGTTCGTCCTTGTCGCCACGGCTATCAGCAGCCGTTGATACCGCTCCGACGGAGCTCATAGTGACGCGTCCGTTCGCTTCGAAAGCCAAACGACGAATCCCCTACCAATTGAGCTAACCAGGGGTTAGACATCAGTAGAGCAAACGGGTTTTATCAGCCGCCACCAGTCTAACACCAACAAGGGTGAAGCTTGCAATTTAAGGTTATAATTAGAATGCAATTAAATGCAAAGGTGCAAGCGAGCTGGACAAGAATGATGAAAATAATCCCTGGAGAAGGGGAACAAGAGGGACAAAGGACAAACACAAATCTCCAAACACAGCTAGGTGACTGGTGCGCGACCGAAAAAATCCCGGGTTCGATACCCGGACCAGGCGGATTTTTTCGGTCGCGCACCACCCAGTCAACGCAATGGCATCCTGAGGATGTACTGTGGATGTCGAGTCCAGGATGATGGGTAGTCCCGAGGACATCCTGAAAGAGTCTCGAATGATCCTCAAATGGTCTTTTTGTCCAGACCCATTATGTCCTGAGAACATCCTGAGTTGCCAGCCCTAAGGACTGCATGGGGACCTTTCTGGGATAAAGGCACCCCACTGGTTCAGTCAATGCATATCGTCAAGGAAGCATTTGATCATTTATGAAGGTCAGAAATATACAGGGTGTTCCACGAAAGGTGGACAAATTCGATATTGCAAAAACTATGCGTCGCAACAAGAAAAGACTTGTGTCGTTTTCGTCCTGGGCCAGGGCCTTTTTAGGAAAATTATTAAAGTCCGGGATAACTAGATTGCTAATTATTTTTGAGCAATTAACTTTTTTAATATTGTGTATTATTTTAATATTGGGCATGGTTTCAATTAAAGAATTCCTCAGCATCATCGAAAAACACTAAATCAACAAATTGCAGAACGATAGAATGCACGCGCAACATTTTACGGCTTTCTGAAAAACAGCACAAATTCGACGGGTTTTTAGGTTTCGGTTTGCTATCGGAGCGCATCTTGGCCCCGACGGCACCGCACCCCGTGTAGAAATAGCGCGACCAACCTCTGCTCTGCTGTCATCACACGACGCAGCACAGGCTGGTTGCACTATCTCTCCACGGGGCGCGGTGCCGTCGGGGCCGAGATGCGCTCCGATAGCAAACCCGAACTTAAAAGCCCGTTGAATTTGTGCCGTTTTTCAGAAAGTCGTAAAATGTTGCGCGTGCATTCTATCGTTCTGCAATTTGTTGATTTAGTGTTTTTCGATGATGCTGAGGAATTTTCTAATTGAAACCATGTCCTTATGCACAATACTAAAGAAGTTAATGACACAAAAATAATTAATCTAATTATCCCGGACTCTAATAATTTTCCTAAATAGGCCCGTGGCCCAGGACGAAAACAACACAAGTATTTTTTTGTTGTGATGCGTAGTTTTCACAATATCGAATTTGTCCACCTTTCGTGAAACACCCTGTATATATATACAGGGTGTCCCAGATAACATGCAGCGAATTTCATGAAATAATGAAACACTCTAGACGGATAAAAGCAACTATATTATGATGCAGTCATCTTCAGAAAATGTCCCTATTTATTTCATTGCGGTTTACTAATTAGGTAAAATTAATTAATCAACTTTTTCTTTATTGGTTAGGAGCTCAAGTGAGATTTGAAGTCTTGGAATGTCACGAGAAATGACCGATTATGATATTTACAACAGTGTGTGCTTTGACTAGTCCTCTTTGGAAGGCAAGAAAAAACACCCGTGAACCAAGGCACACAGACCGCTATAGCAAGGCATTTTTTGTTTTGTAAACAGGACTACAGAAACCACACCTTGTTTTAAACAGTATAATTGCTTTCTCCTGATGTTCTACAACATTGCTAATCACAGTTCAGCTCTTAAACCAATATTTAAAGAGCTGACTTAATTAATTTTACAGAAATAGTCACAATTAAAAATAGTGACAAATTTTGACACTGCTGCTAAGAACATACAGCTGATTTCATTCACCTGGGGTGCTTATTCTTTTTAACGTTTGCTGCATGTTATCAGGGCACCATGTCTCCAAAGAACCATTAGGCGATGCTTGATAGCTGACTGGTCTTTTTGGGGTCACCCATGCAAATGCTGAACTGACTTGCGACGGATGCTGCGCAGGCTCCTTGAAAACCATGAAACCAACACACACAAAAAATTTGAATTATTTTAACAGAAGAGTGGGCAGAAAGTACCAACCAAAATATTTATTGAATAGAACAAGGAAGAACAGTACTCTTAATCAATTTAAGACCAAACTTCAAATTTTTGTCCTAAAAAAAAAAAAAAAAAACTAAGAAGATCATTTTTTCTCAAAACAAAATTCCTAGCACGCTAGCGCACCCTTTAAAAATCCCGGTCCGCGTTTCCCATCTGGGCTCCTCCTTTCGGTTATCGAGGGACGTCATGGGAAAGCCTTGAGGAATGACAGCGACAAGGCTTCCTGCAATGTCCCTAGATAAACGAAAGGAGGAGCGATTTTTTTCTTTCTATTTTTTCTTATTTAGACAAAGAAAGTATGAATTTGGGCTTCTTAGGGCTCCTAAGCAAAATGGCTGGAAACAATAAAAATCAAAGAACAAGACGAGGGTACTAAAATTGGAAAATAAAATAACTGGAAATGATAATCACTTCTCGTGTTGTGCAATTGTGGCTGCTGGTCTAACAAGTAATCATTTAGCTGCAGACAAGAGGCATTCATTATGCCTTAATATGAACACCTGTAAAATGATTAAGAATGACTAGCTTTGTCAGGCAAGAGCAATACTTGAAAACAGGAGTAAAATGACTAGAAATAATGAGCAAAAAAAATTAGATAAAGATACTAGAATTTGAACACTAAAATAATTGGAAATGATAATGACAAACTAACAAAACTTGTTGAGTAGTGTGCTTGCGGCTGCAGGTCAAACAGGTATTACCTGAAGATGGGCTTGAAAAAACAAAATGAATTAAAAAAGGTGCACACTATACTTGGATATAGATGCTCATAAAAAGTTAGGGGATGTTGCCGAGACCAGATTCCTCAAGCTTCCTGAGCTTCTCCGCCGCGTGTCGTAGCCACGTCTTGATTACCTCTTCAACGTCGTGACGTGTCGTTGTGATACGGGGGTTTCTTTTTACAGCTTCTGAAAAGTTGTAAGGTTTGCTATTACTAGTCCCCCAAAACCCAGAGTGCTAGCTATAGGGCAAAATCGCAACAATGGCATGAGTATGCTCATTCCTTCCTTGAGGTGATCGAGGAATTATCAGAAATACTTTGATTATTATAACCATCAGAAATACTTTGATTATTATAGCCAGCCAACTGATCACACTGTGAAACTGTGGTGCTGTTTCAGAGCATATATTAGATATTTATCAATTACTTAGGGGAAAAAAACACTACTCCCAAACACCATCCTTTCAAAAAAGCATTGCCATAATGTGTTGTGTACTTACGGTATATGAGCTCAACACACTGCAGCTGTTGGAATTTCGCCTTGCCCTTTTGCCCTTTCCAGCTGAAATTCACCGCAACGTTTTGGGTCATTAGAGCTTCCAGCAGTCGACGAGTAGTGGCTCCCACAGTCTTCCCTCCCAGTCCCGCGAACCAATTTACCTGTGTCACAGAAAAACAGGTTTATATAAATAACAGGCACTTCCATGGCATCTAGCCAAATGCTCCATAGTTTACTTACCAGCTTTTTTCTCATAGCTTCGCTAGCCTGCAGCTGGCACTCAAATTCCATGAAGCTGTCGTAGCTTGCGTGTGGCTCCTGAACGGGGCAGTTGTCATCATCATCCTCCTCCTTGTGCTTGTTCAGAGCTTCTAACACAGTGCCCATCAGGGCAGTCAGGTTATCAAGCCTCAGCCGGATCATGTGTAGAATTTCCAAGGTGTGTCGCCTGAAACCTGAACCATCAACAGGAGCATTGTATAAAATTGTTAAAACCAACTATCAAAGGCTATCAGAAAGGTTTCACACCTTCAGGCTCAGGTTCCTTTGACACAGTTTTACTGGCAACATTACGGCAAGCAGGTGTAGAGCTGAAGGTTGTACTGGATTGCTTGAGTGCTGCACAAAAATACACAGTTTCACTGAAAACAAATCAATGACAAATAAGTGACTTCAGGACCGAACAGTCTTAAAACCGTTGGAGGTCGTGAGCACTTATTCTATTTGCTATTGTTCCAGTCAGGAACTATTTTGTGTGTTTTGAACACTGCACAGGAAGAGCACTCATGTGAACAAGCACATAGCAAGTGATTTACCCAGTATTTTTATTTATTTTTTTATTCCCGAGGTTTATAAAGGTACTTCTAAGGACAAAGGTTTTATTTCTTTTCTTATGCTACTAGTTTTTCATAGACCATTCTTTAAATCATCCTTAATGACAACAGAATCTTCTGTAACGGTGCAATATTAGCATGCATACAAGATAAAAACTGCTTCACGGCCTTTCATAAGCACTAAAAGCCTGGGGTAACAATTTTGTACCTCGGGTCATTCTTTCCAGCATGATGCTCCTTTCTGTTCTCATAAGACTTCATAAGTAAAAATAGAACAAGCTATTCAAGAATCAATTGATTAGTTGGCATATAGATCTGCAAAGGTGGCACATCAGACAACCAGGGTACCTCTTAGAGTCGCTGCAGGAGGTGGAGTGGGTGGACCAGAGGAGCCCTCATCATCCATGGCATTGCACCCTGCCAGAGGCATGGGCTGTCGCCTTCTCCTTTGTGGAACATCCGAATCGGAGGAGTCGCTGATGCGTGTTGCTTTTCGTTTCCTCTTTCCTTTTCCGAGGTCTGTTTCGCTTTGCAGGTCCGAGGTATCTTCAGCTGTTTTGAGTTTTCTGCGAGCTTTTTCAAAAGACTCTGCAAAATTTAGAAGTTAAGTTAGAACACAGTTGCCACCAAAAAAAAAAATGGTATATATGATTGAATGATATATGTAAACATGAGATGTACACCATAAGCTGCTTTCCTCGCAAAAAGCAAGTTAACAGAAACTCCACAAGATTGGTTCGGGATTGAAGTCAGGCTATCAGCACTCCGAACCATGAGCTTTGGCTCCGTGAGCCTCGAGCTACAGTTTTTTTTTTAACGCAGAACATGGCCTTCAACAAAATCTTGTTTTATTTCTACACAGATTTCAATAAAAACTCTCAAATATGTTACACTCTTAGAACATATCTACCATAAAAATATGAGTTTGAAATCTCAAGAACTTATTACCATATTTCTCTTCTCTTTAAACCTTGTGGAAAGCATGCAGGGCTTGTAAAATAAAAAAAATTTGAGCAGCTTGCACTAGCGGTCCAAGGCTAGGGAAACGGCGGAGCTGGGAGTCGACCTAGCTTTGCCTAAGTTCAGTTAAGTTTTACAAAGGTTTGCAAGGCCGCACTCCGCTTCTCATAGTCTCGAACCGAGCTCAGGGTAGACAGGTTGACGTCGAACCAAAGACTGTCACAGACGCGAGAGCCATGCCCAAACTCAATGCCCAGAAATTCCCACTGGAAACGGCCGTTCGCGCCACCCATGCACTGGCGGAATCGACACTGAAATTTTCGCATGACTCGGTTGCCGGGATTGCTCTCACGCCGCCTGAAGTCGCTTGACTGGCTGTGCTCGCCTTAACCGGTCAGAGCCACAGGCACGAGAGCATGGCTCTTTTAAGGCCGGTTCAGACACTTGCGTTTTAATGCGTTGGACTGCGTTGCGTCGAGAACCGAAAGCGAGTCACCGGCACATCTGTGCTTCGTATGAAGCGTGGAATCCAATTCAAGGAATCATCTTGGCACGCGATACAAGCGGCAGGGATGTCCTGGTTTCTCGCTGCTGCAACGCAGTCAAACGCAACTGTCTGAACCAGGCTTTAGCGTCCCATCTGCACGAGAGCACGCTCGAATGAGGCGAAGGGTATGCAAGGCGACGCACTCACGCTAGTAGCCTTGACAGCGCTGCACGCTACACATGAAACGCAGCGTAGGTGGCGGTGTTCACCTAGGCAATCACAGAGACGCAACCAGCACTGTGGAAGGCACGAACGCCTTCCACAATGCCACTGTCGGCGCCCCTGCGCACGTGTGGGCGAGGAGGTCACTGCGCTCCGTGTTTTTGTTAACATCAGACAAATTACGGTGAGCCTAAACAGCTTTACTGTTAAAAGGCTGCTTTAACTACCAAACGCAATATCCCCGAATTTTCAAGTTTTTTTTTTGTCACCAGGATGGAAAATACAGGTCTGACATGCAAATGCATGGCTATGTAACTAATTAAATATAAACCAAAAAATAATAATGCAATTCCCTGCACTCTGGATCACAGATTGCAACAAGCCAAACAAACTAAAAATGGACAGTGGTTCCCAAAAACCCCACTCAAGCCAAACAGAACGCTAAAAGAACAGTTTTGAGAAAACAATGCTTGATGTTTTAGGCTGTCTGTGGCACGCTGCTGTAATTATTTAGGGCAAAGAGAAAAAAGGCCTATAGGAGCAAAATCTCAACTTTTTTAAAATAACTACTCGTGACATTGTTTTGTCGCCTGAAAGTCGCAGAAAAATTGTATATGCCTCATGATGCCAGATATACAAGCAGCATTGTGTTAATTCTTATTGCCCTTTGACCATCACTACATTAAAAAGCTTTATAGGAACACCCAGAAAGTATTCAATTCCCCGCATTTTGGGCTATTGGTGAAATAAACTGGTGCTATAAAGAAGAACTATCATACTTACGAAATGACTGTATTGGAATGCACAGCACACGCTTCCAATCTTTTGTAGGGTTTGCGCCTCTTTCAGTAAGCATGTTTATCATCTTCGAACTTTTTGCGTTGGGCCAATAGCACCAATCACCGTTTATCCATCTTTGATGCACCACCGCCACAGTGTCACCATCATCCTCATCCGGGAACTTGACCACAACATATGGCTTTCCCTCTGCACATAAGTGAAATAGGAGAACATGTGAAGCTTAACCACTTACACTTTATTGTGTCACAGTACACACATGCCTTGCAGAACACAGAGTCCAGATTACAGTTTTGTGTGAACAAGAGGAAACACGGTGTGTCGCTTGTTAACAATGAATTTCAGGCACTTCTTTGCTACACTGTCAACTGGCCAGCAACGCAGGCTTGACAAACCAGAAACTTCATGGATACCGAGGATTGAAGAACAGCAAGGAGTAGTGTACAAATCATTCACTTTGAGATATTTGCGACCAATGATGCAAGGAACACCTGATCCTGAGAAGTAAGCAATGTTCTCAATCTTAACGATGGTACCATCGTCAAGAACGCATACACTGTCCCTTTTGCCTCTCTTTAAAACAAATTTGTGCGGCACAGTCACGCGTCCGAATTGAGGGCCCTGACATTGTGGCAACAAGGGGCCGTCCTCATGTTCAACAGCGAAGGAAAGCTCTGCCTGGATGGTTGCCTTTTTCCCTGGTGCAACATTTCTCACTTCAGCAATTCTATTGCAGAGCTGCTCCAATGGCTGGCCAGGTTTTCTAAGCATCCTTTTTAGTGCAGCCATGCGGTTCTCGAATGGAAAGGCGCTCCACAAATCCAGAGGACCGTGCGATCGTACATCGTTTGTCAAGTGGCACAACCCGTGGACATTGTGCGAGACATACTCCTGTCCATAGATCTTTGAAAAGACTTTGATGAAATATCTCAACAGTCTATCGGCATAGTCGAGATCATCTGAACTTGAACTGGGAGTAGCCAGAATGGTGATTGCTACATGGAGAACAAGAAAGTTGTGAAACATCCTCTCAGGGATTTTTGTCAAGACAACTGGTCCACCATAAAGCAAAAAGAAACGAAACTCGGTCGCCTTCCAGCGGTCAAGTTCATTCAGACTTCGCGGTTTCCGATTGAACTCACAGGGAACACAAGGTACAAGCTCGATGTTTCCTGCAGAAATTTCCCGTACCAAGGGCCCCAGCCGCACTTTCTTAGGCCCTTTAACCCACAAGATCAGGAGCTTATGTACAACCCCCAGACAAACAAGATGCATGTAATCTAGGGGTATCTGGTTAATCATGTCAATCGGCAATTCCATGAGGATGCTACTCCCACAGTGATGTTCTTCCTGCAACATGCCTCGAAAGCTAGAATCTGATCTTAGCTCAGCAGCAGAATCAAGAAAACACACCCTGTTATTAAGGTAGACCCCCTCTACTGTGCATTTAGAGCAGCTGTAGTACCCAGTGTGACCTACAGTGCTCAGTATGTATGCCTTAGCAGGAGCATCGCAAATGATAGCCCCTACTCTGACAGGAATTACTTTACCGAGAGTGCAGATTCCTGAGATCAGTAACTGCTGAAGTTCACGAACAAATGCAGCAAGGAAGTCGTTTGCTGAGGAGGGCTTACTTTGCCCAAAAAACACTCCTACAAGAAATGGATGACTATTTTCACAGTTGCTAATTTGGCAAAGGATAGGCCAGAACTGATTCTTGGAACTCTTGGCTAATGGCAAGCCATCAACATTGAAGTTTAGCACGAGAAAGTCTGGCAGTTCCACCTCCTTCTTCAGGTGAAGGTCAAGACCAGCTGCCAGACCAAAGTGGGCGTATTTTCCACTGCCGAGATCTTCTATCACTCCGGATTTTCTCGGTGTTCCCTTGAGAGCTCTTGCAGAGAGGGGAAGGTCAGCAAAGCACTTGTGACTGTGAAGAACCGCTAGCAAGCGAGTCACCCAGTCATTCGGAACACGACATTCAACAGCCCACTCTCGTAGCTTGAGTTTAAACGACTCGAGGTCGTCGACTTCTTCATGACCAATCAAGTCTTGTAAACTTGGATTCTCTTCGCTAATGCGGTCACGAGCGATCAGCCGCCCGAGTCCACTTTCGGCGATCAAGCCTTCCGCCCAGTCGGCGTCGTTTCCACTCGCTCGAGTGACAGCACATGCAACAGCTGCGACAGCATCACAGTGGTTTTCACTAGAATCGCTGGAGCTTGCTTGTTCCGATGAGTCTGAATAGGTCTCAAGTAGCGCAACACTGTCACTCACACATCGGGCAAGCTTTCGGCGAAAGAGGCGACCTGCGGCACTGTCGGAAGCCGCCATTATGCAACAAAGACATTGCACTAAACACAATTAAGCTTGAGCAGATACTCCTGGCTAGCCTCAGAACTGTGCCTACGCTTCACTAGGAGACCTAGCTTCCTCATTCTACGCTGCAAATGAATATTGAATAGTAATTAAAAGTTACTCACCCAATTCGCACATCTCGTCGAAAAGGTGCCCAGCTTCTTTCCCGCGCAAATAACTTCCCGCCTCCCTTTCCTTTCGTGGCGGCGTCGGCGGCGTGCGGCGTCAGCAACGACGTCAGCGGCGTGCAGAAAGCGGATTCGGCCGTTGCTTCGGCGGCACAGTGTATTTTACAGCAAAATCTTTAAATACTATAATCTACTTAGGATTTTATGTTGATTTTATGTCCGACTCCATTTTTGGGGTTTTATTTTGGACGTTGTACGTTTTGGCATTTGGGTCAAGCTCTAAAGCAAAAGCCGCATTGCGACAACATCACGCAATCGCTGTCTGAACTTGGCGCGCGCTGGTCGGCGGTTTAAACTGTTTTAACCTTTTTAGCAGCATTTTGGCTTTGCTGTGGTTTCTTTTTTTCCATATTTGATCTCGAAAGCTTATTAAGAACCTGCAAGGCATGGCTCGAATTTAGCGGACCAGGATGCAAGGACCCTCTGAGGATGTCCTTAGGACTCCACGTTGATGACGAATTCCGGATGGCCCGTAGGATTCATCCTGCGGACATTCCATGGACTACTTTTAGCGGACGAGGATGATAGGACCTTTTGAGGATGTCCTCAGGATGTTGTGTGTTGACTGGGCAGTCACCTAGCTGTGTTTGGAGATTTGTGTTTGTCCTTTGTCCCTCTTGTTCCCCTTCTCCAGGGATTATTTTCATCATTCTTGTCCAGCTCGCTTGCACCTTTGCATTTAATTGCATTCTAATTAAAGACATGTATGTTTTTGGAAACCGACCCGAATCGCTAGCGCTACATTTTGGCGGAGGCTTTTTTGTCTGTTTTTTTCGGTGAAAATAGCACTGCGAAAACGTGGATTATATTATTATCATTCGCGTTTTTGCAGTACCGGCCTTGCGCGGTGTTGTGCGCCTGCTGCACAACGCCGCGCCGCCGCCCTCGCGCTTCCCAAGTGCTACAGGTATCGTCCTAAAATGTACTGACTTAGGGACTTTCGATGACGCTCAGCAAGTTTCTAACTGGGACCATATGTTAATTTTCACTAAAACTTTCATTATTAATACTGATGTAATTGTTTAGCTAATTAGTGCTTGATGTCGGGACTTCTTTTTGCCCAACTCTCGACTATGAAAGGGATGTGCAGCTTGTGGGAACAAAATAATTGTGCTAAGCATTGGCTCCCCGTTGCAAGCATAAAATAAGTGAACCGCAATATTCTTGAGGTTTTTGTTTTTGTTTTTTATTCAGGGCAGGTGTCCAAGGAAGGGGCTTCCCCAATGATGGGCACACTAACAGAAACCATAACGCGCTTTTAAACACTCTTAAACCTATACATGAGTGTTCTACCCTTCCGGTATCCTTCTGCAGAACAATAAAATTGGAATGAATGTCTCCACAACACCGATTCGCTCCAAACGCTTCGTTGGTTGTCCGTTACCGAGGGCTTCCGCCATAAGTCCACCGGCGCAGGGCCGCACAGCGCGAAAACCGAGCGCCCGTCGCATTACTTCACCAGCTTGAGCATCCGGATCTTCTCCAGGTCCCTGGCAATGTCCTTCGTGTCTGGCAGGATCCGGATGACCTTGCAGAAGTCAAAGTAGATGCCATACTTGTTGGCGTTGTCCTCCCGGATGTGGTGGAGCACCACCAGGTCGACCTTCTCCGGCTTGCAGCAGACGTAGAGCGCGATGAAGAAGATGGCGGCCGTGGTCAGGCCCAGGAAGAGGGCCGAGAGGAGCACGACGTACGTGTGCGGCATGCCGTCGCTGCCCCACAGCTGCCAGACGCCGAAGCAGAGCAGGTTCTCGACGACGAACACGAAGATGAAGAGGAACACCCTGCGCTTGAGCTTGAAATCGAACATGACCGGCCAGAAGATGAGCGAGGGCAGGCCGAACAGTGCGAAGATGAGGATGAGGGTGATGCAGGGGCTGCGCAGTGGCTGGGACGCGTCGTCTCCGGGCTGGCGCACGCTGTCCAGGCGCCGGTGCGCCTCCCAGACGAAGCTGGCGATCCAGGCGGTCATGGCGACACCGTGGACCAGGCAGGCCACCACGATCCAGCCGTGGATGACAGACGTGAGCAGCGAGAGCGCTAGGCCCCGGGAGGCGGCCACGGCCAGCCAGCCCAGGAAGGACAGCGTGCCCGTAAGCAGGCCGTCGTCCTTGCGCTGCACGGCGCGGATCAGGGACCACAGGCTCAGCGCAGAGCCCACCAGCTGGCCAATCACTGTTGAGACAAAAAAAAAAAGAAAAAAAAAAACAACAACCGGGGATTGCGGGGCATCCGTTAGTTTGCCCGGCCACTGCATGTGCACTGTGCAATCAATATGTTTGATTAGAAGCCCGGCGTGAAGATTACAGCTCAAACAGTGGGGATTGCTGCGCCATTTTAGCTGGCCTTGCTAAATTCTGCTGCACTGCGCCAACATGAAGAATTTGTGCCAACATTGCGCCGAAAGATAACTATACTCGGGGAAAACTTCTTGGCAATGCAGTGGAAGTATACAGGCACGCGTTCCCTCTCCCATTTTGAGCGCTGATTAAAGCTGTGCGCGGACTCTCCGCTAGACACGTTCGGATCGTCGTATAGCTTTCTGTTATCTATTCGAGTGACGACTATTCAGTCTGATCTACGTATCGAAAACTGACAGTACAAGAAAATGGCGCACTGTTCTATGTTTGGGCGAGTTAGCTAAGTACTTCGAGCGCCCCAGTCATCGGGCACTGCTGCACCACGCAGAAGCACATCCGCAGAGTCAGTGAACAAGCAAAATGCGATGCGTGCTGTCCGCGCCACTTCCACGAAAACATAGCGCACTTCGGGGTACACTGAACGTCGTATGGCGACGAAACTTTTATAACCGTCGTCCCATCTAAAGGAAGGGAAAGGGCTGCTTAGTTATATTTGTACAGAGCGCGACACAATCAGTACGAGCAGGCGATCGCCAGATTTTCCTGTTCTTCTTTGAGACTCGAAAAGCCGTCTGCAAAACTACTACTTAGTTTGGTGGGAACTGCTTACTCAGGGCACAAATCTGCGAAGCGGCTATCCACATATTGATCGAACTCTATCCATTTCTTTTTGTCGAGTTTTAATGCAAAGCGACGCAGAGGCGCGCGTGGTTGCTTTCGTACTTTTTTGCAGCGTTACAAACTATCGCAGCTACACGGTGAGAGGGAGAGGAGGAGGAAGGACAGTGGCTAGACTCAAAGGCTAGCTGCCTGTGTTTCTATTCACCGTTCGGACTCCGAACGGCGGCGTCCGGCGTTCGAACGCGAGACTGCGTGAGGAGCAGACGACGCTCTTGGTCGCTCTGATTGGAGGGAGACAGCCGAGAGAGCCAGAGGCCAGCTAGCCTTTGCGTCTACCCACTAAGCCTTCCAATCAGAGCTCGGCGCTCCGACGTCCCCTCGCGCTCTCATCACCTCCTCTCCCCCAGTTGTAGAGAGAGGAGTGCAAGCTGCCGGAGCTAACGTGCCATATCGCCGTTTTGTAGCGCCTTCACGGCAACGGCACAATCAATAGTTCACCGCGCTTGCGACGTGAACTATAAAGTTGGCGGGGCGTTTCTGGATAATAAATTGAAAGCTAAAGCCGATGAAAGAAATTTCAGGCGTGAAAAAGTGCTCCAACGTTTTCTGCCCCCAGCAAGAATTTGTTTTAGGTCTTATAAAATATGGTTCCAAAGTAGTGAAAAGTTCAGAGTGCCCTCGTATGCTTGTTTCATTTTGTTGTGTTTTGGTGAAAGACGATAGTTCCACAAGTACGAGCGAATAATACCCCACCATCGCTTGTTGATTAACAAAAAAAAAAAAAATCCATATCCAAATTCTTTACAGCAAAACGTTTCTAGCTTCGCCTCTATTTCGTGTTAAAAATGTGTTAATTTAGATAGCGGAATATCGCCATGCAATAATGATGTCAAACATCTCAATTCAATAGAAGTTTAGGACCCAAACGAGCTGGGGGTGTTTAAACATCCTAACACAAAAAGATGACCGGAAACGTTCGATAAAAAGGTCTATAACAATCATGAGCCATGGGAATGCGGTAAATAAGCCATCCCTCACTTTGGATACAGAACAGAGAAGGTTCCTACAAAGTCGATGCCTTGCCTTAGGTCAAGTGTTTCGTTGCGGCCTAGGTGGCTTGGTTGATTTTGTCCGATTTCAAGTTTTATCAAGATCAGTTCGCTTTTTGTTCGATTCCTGGTCGTTTCGTTCGTTACGTTCTTCCTTTCCTTCCTTCACTGCTTCTTCGTTCTACTGTAAAGGTTGCTTTGTTGTATTGCTTGTGGCACGGGATTCCCCATTTCTCTCTCTCTCTCTCTCGTCTCTATTTCAGCTGTGTTAGAGACTGTGTTTGCCCGTCCCTTCTCGTTCCAGTATTGGGGTTTCTAGTCAAATGTCTATCTCAGTTCAATCTGAATCTGATGACGTTGTTCATTCATGCCCGGTTTATTACTGTTTTGGACAATAGCGGAAGGTCCTTTGTAGCGGAGAAGTGCGCAGTCCGAGGCAACAATTGGCGGAGCAGCCTTTGAGTACAACGATAAAGTACCATGGAAGATCGCATTGAGAAAGTACCTGCAATGAAGGTACATATTGGATTACATCCGAAGTGCTTTACACCTAATATACTCTACCATTTGACCTGAGCTATACGCGTACCGGCTATCTTGAACATAACCAAGTACTTTTGTAGGTATAATTATCGAACAATGCTTACAGCGCTCATTGTAATGGTCACTGTAAACGTACAGATCACAGAACCAATTTACAGTGCTCACCAAACTTATCCGGAACACGCGAACGGCACCTTTTCAGCGCTATCCTGGCGGAAGCCGAAGAACTGCTCCATGACGTACCGCTCAGTGCAACAGTCCGATCAGGGGATCGGACTGTTCCCTTGAGCCCCACGTCATAGAGAAGCTCTTCGGCTGCCGCCAGGATAGCGCTCCCTCGAGATGAGACACTGTTCGCATGTTGCGTATAAGTTTTGTGAGCACTGTACGTCTTTAGGAATGGACCCAGAGCCGTTTCAAGAAAAGCACCAGTTCGTACGAAGTTCTTTTTTCAATTTATGAAGCCCGAGACACTTAATTTCTCGGAAGTCGTTGCTGTGCCCAAGAAGGTAGGCTTCTCAAGGGCAACGCACCAAAGGAACCTAAACAGCTCACATAATGGACCAGCCGTACTTACGGGCATTGGAGGGGTTGTTGGAGCTCAGGAAGAGTATGATGAGGTAAACCTGAAGGAGGACCTGGACGAAACCCGCGTAGAAGTCTTCGAAGAACTCCAGCACGAAGGTGTCCCGCTTCAGGGTCCTCAGTCTGACCTGCTCCGCCTTGGTCGGGCCCAGACAGCTGCACACACGCTGCGCAGCGAAGTGGAGCACCTCCACGTGCCTGCGAAAAGGAAGGAGCGCCCGTTCATTGGTTGCCGATTCCGAGCAGAGGCGCCGGAAGTGTTCGGGACATGAGGACCCCTCAAACATCACAAGTACGACTAAACGCAGCGGCACACATAATAAGAGCGCAAGTCACCGGCCATTCACTGCGCTTGATTTGTTTAAGCAGGAGGTGTAGAACACATAGAAAAGGATGACGAATGCCATGATGTTGAACTTTTGATGCTGTTTGAGTGGTGTTATCGGGCTGTAGCGTCTAGCGCGACTGGGGAAAACGAAGCATACAAGGACAGAAGTGTCGGGGGGTAAAAAAACAATGTCCCCGCCCCCCCTTTTTCCACGCCAAAGCCAGTCAAATCTGTCCATTTTATACGTAATTCTGGTAACATTAAAAACAAAACTGTCACAGTCAAAAAAAAAAAAAAAAGAAGCTTGGGAGAGAATAGAGGGAGGGGGCAGAAAAAAAGTATTACAATTATTTCAATATGTTAATTTTTCTGTCGAACTGCGCTCGCTCACCAGCCACCACCGCTGAAAAGTACAAAGGGAAATATAGGGCGACCAACAAAATTCTTTTTCTGCGTTTGTGCCGGGCGGCACGAATGTAACCACCAGCACCGAGGTCACCGGTGTATTTGCATGTTCGGAAACGTTTGTGGAGCTCCCAGATTGATCCTTACCCGACACGCGTAACCAAATCTGGGCGCCGGCTAAAGGTATACGTGAATCACTGATGCGTGTTTACCCAAACATCGCCCCCTCCCCTCCTGCAATGTGACGCCCATGAAAACGCGGCAGTTAGGATGCCGAAATTGACCTGGTGACTTACTCCTCAAACGTTTCCGAATACGCCTCCCGTTTTAGTGGTCCTTCTCGACTGAAACGTGCGTATTCGCGAAATGAGAAACGAGCGAGTGAGAGAAACCATAACGGTGATAACGCTTTGCAGACAATGGCCTGTATGAACAAAAGTACTGTTCACTTATTTTCTTTTTCCATGCGTAGGTTACATTTTCTGTTGTGACTCCTGGCAATACTTTTTTATTAATTTATTATCCCTTAGCTATACTCCGGTGATTTTAAGAGCTTCCAAAACTAACTACATTTTCTGAATACCCGACCTTTCCCTTTCCGGCGTGGTATGTAGTATATCTAAATTCACAATAGTTATTGGGTCAATGCGTGCCAAATGTCCCAGACGTTGCGCCCGACCATTCCCGATTAAAAAAAAATTATGAATATTTACTTTAAGATTTTTATCATTTTCCTAATATATTTTCGCCGATTTTTTAATTTTTTTTTTTATGGCGTGAGTGTGGTTTTAACTTTTAAAATGGGCGAAAAACTAGTCATCATTCAATAATTGAGTAATGAGATTTTTCATTAAACGCTTCACAAATAATGATTATAAAAGTTTTGTTAAAATATTTTTTTAATTGAACAAAATCCAAAAAATAGCGCTTTTCTATTTTTTTTTGTTTAATTATCGCTTTGCGCCTGGCAATTATAACTTTTTTTCCTATCGGTATCCCTGTAGATGTATTACAAATGAAAAGAATGTTTCAAACCTACAGCAAAATGCTTAACAGAAAAAAAAAAAAAATTCTGTTAAGCATTTTGAAAAGTTTCGAAAAGGTCCGTCTTGCTGCCCGAACAGCCGTTTCTTCTAACCAGAGGTGGTATAAGTAAAACTACGAAAAATAACGAATTTAGAAGAAGTGCTTATTCCCTTGCATTTCTGAAAGTGTAATCAAAACGATATTTTTTCTAATGCGAGAAAAAATAATATTGAAGTTGAGCTCCCGCGTCGCAACCTGGCATTGTTTCTTAGCGCCTCTTCACCACACAACACGCCCGCTCACACGAGAGCGCTTTGCGCGCACGAAAGGCAGCAGACCGATCTCACCATAGAGTTATTATAAGTACGCTAGAAGTTCAACTGGCGCTCGTGTTCTGCCGCAAATTGATGCAGACAGCAACCAGCTGAAAATTGACTTCCGGCACTGCATTTCTATACATAGTTCCCACGTGACGTCACTTCCTCTATACTCCCGCCCGCCGGCCGCCATTGCCAGGTACTGAGAAGCAGACGCGGACGCTTCCGCCGCCGCCGCATCTGCGCCTCTCGATTGCTACTTTGCTACAGAATTTCTATCACCCGTACAGCGCGATAGCGAAAGCCATTCTACATGAGTGCTGTTCTTCCTATCTTGAAGAGCTGGTGGGCCCCACACGGGCTCGGTATGAGTCTAAAGTGAAGATGTGCGACGGCGTCGATTCGTAAACGTTACGCGTCGGCGCGGATACCACTACAGATGCGGACGTGCCGCCAGCCAGGACGCACGTAAACATAATTAACTACCTGGTTTTGTCGACTAACTATACGTGTCGCTGCAACAGATGAAGGCCTTCAAGGCCCTGGACGCTCCTAACTATTTAACGAGGTGATGGGTGAAGAGCCTGACAGCGATGCGTCTCCCATCACATCGTATCGTCGTGCTGAGCGAGGCAAGTTGACAGGCAATAAAACAAGCGTCTTTATGAGAACTGAAGGGCCGAAGAGAGATGTGCCCTACTTACCGCATTACAATTCGCAGCATCTTAGCTGGGTAAACTTGGCGCCGTCGCCGCAACACCATCGACACAAACGTGCTTACAAACACTACACAATTACAGAAACGCTGTGTGAAAGGTGAAAGCATATCCCTGCAGCGTGACGCTACCAGACACCAAACACTGCCTCGGCCGCTATGGCAATGCGAAAGGGGTGCGAACAGAAGCCTCCAGCAATTCACGTACAGTTGAGCAACGTATTTCTTACCGGTAATGAAGTGACGACCGCAGCCACAGACACTTCCAATGTATGCGAGCAAGCTGCAGAGGCTTCGGCGTTTCTCGGAAAGCAGCTTTGTAGGCTCATACTGTCGCGTTACCACCTTTGGCAAACGGTGCAGCCCTACATTTGGCTCCGTGTTACTCAACTGTGCAGAGGACTTGCTTCTGCTTCGGCAGCCGAACATCGCGCACATCGGCATGACTGCACCTCTGCGACCGCGACCGCACACCAGAAACGGCCAACGTTGCCGGCGCCAATCCTTAAACCGAAACTGTGTCAGTACCTGGCAATGGCGCTGACATATTCCATAAGCCCCAACTGTTCGTGAGAACTTTGTATAAGAAAAAGTAAGTGCATTTTCTCCCTGCGCTCGATTATAATAGAAAATATCCCGAATAATTCCTACGTACTAGGTAGATTGGAACGTTTCTCAGTAAGGCAGACAAAATATTTGGTGAGTTACGGCGTTTTTTTTTCTCAAGTTAATTGCATTAAAACGGTGCTAAAACGAAGTCGTGCATGTATTTCTGTGCACTGTCGGACACTGTTACCGCAAACACGACGTCGGCGCTTTTCAGCATGGCAGATGAACGTGCCAAGCGAACGAAGGACATGTGAAAAACCAAGAGAGAAGGGAAAAACTACGCAGTAACACTGGATCAGTAACCCTCTGTGTACGTAGAGTCGTAGACGATCAAAATTAATTGAAGGACATGTGATATAGTCCTATTTTCAATAAGAGCTACTTCAATCTTTCTGCTCTGAGCGAAGATGATTGCTTTACGTTTAAAACATCACCCGAACGCTCGAAACCTTTGAGAACAAGTGTCAGATAAAAACTTCCCGGCATAGGAAATAATAAAAATAATTAAAAGAGACACCCTTTCATAGCCCATATACTTTATTCTTTACGTTTTGCATGTTTTTCACCGCTCGTAAAGATGCAAGACGGGGTAATTTTTATATATGTGACAGGACTGGCATATTAGCAATATATAAGCGTCACCGTAATTCTGGCGTACCTTGAACACACTCTATATTCCTTTCGATCGTTATTTTGCTTAGAATCGTCGCTCGTTTTTACACACCTGCTGCGGAACACATGTTTCGGAATGAAACGTAGCAAAGTTAAACATCGTTGAACTGGTGAATAAACATGTGCTAACTAAAGCCATTGCACTTTTACAATGTTAATAAAGGTACATACTATTCGGTACGACCCAGATAACGAAAGTGTTCCATGCTATTTTCCGGCGAAGAGACAAAATGCACGCGCGTTTTCCTATAGGAATGCACAGGAATACCGCAAAAGTAGATTGGTTGCTGTCTGCTTCAATTTGCCTACCGGGAGTCGCATGGACACTAGCGCTAGTTGAACCCTCTATGGATCTCACAGCCAGTTTGATTACGATACCGCTACCGCCATGCATCGAGGGAACTGTAGTCTTTCTGCACGGGAGACAACCCCGCTGGGGACCTGCACGAGCAGAGGTCCACGAGGCGGCACAAAATGTCCCGTGAACTGGCACCTGCCTCCTATAAACTGCAGTTACGGCGGCGCCACGAAAATAATTAGGGTTGCGTGGGTATTTAGGCAGCGTGTAGTTGGTCAGCCATTTCAAAGTTTCGACGAGTCACTCGCTGTAGATGAGCAATTTTGCCAGTGCAGTACAACCGCTAGTCTGGGGTCTTCAACGTGCACCACGCGGTAGGGGGTACACGACTACACGCCGGTACGACGCTCATCCAGATCGAAACGGGCAGGGCTGGAGATTGAACCCATGATTCCTAAGTTCTGCAGCGCGAGCTTTCGCACGACGTGCTCCGAGTTGGTGTGCGCTAGCCCACTCGGCCACTGATCCCCGCGTCGCCACGCATGTGCGGAAGGCTTACTGAGACCGGTCGATTACTGGTCGGGAGTGTGATTTTCGCCTATATTGAATGATGCCTAGCTTTTACGCACACTTTAAAAGCTAAAACCTCGTTCGAGCCACTAAAAAAAAAATGTTCGGCGAAAATATTTTAAGAAAAGATTAGGGACCTTGAAGTAAAAAATTGTGAATTTTCTTTTAAAAATCGTAAATGGTCGAGCGCAACGTCTGGAACGTTTAGCGTGGAATGACTCTAGTGTGAGATTGACAAATGGAGGCGATGCCAGAACC